AAAATAGAGCCACCTCTGTGACACTGAAAACTCTGCCTTTAAGTTCAACATACCTCGATAACCCACACATTTCTCTGCAGTAGAGCCCTCTGGTTATTTCACTACTTGTAAATAAACACCTTCTGCACCAAGTCTCTGATCCCCCTCGTCCTCATTAGTGTCTCCACCTGGAATTCCCCTCAAACCATGACTGTGTACAGCAGCACTGCAGGTGGCAGGACTGACTTTCTGTAGTTCTACACAGAAGCCTTGAAGTGAAAACACTTTGCTGTCTGATTAGTAGGTCATGCAGGAGATGTGACGTGTTTGTGCTTCTTTGTACATTTCTCTCTCCAGCAGCTCCAGTCTTTGCCTCCTACTTTTTGGCTGCATCAGATTATTTGTTTGCCTGTTTTTGCAAAACCATTCTTTCCAATAAACCTAAAAAGTGAGTGTTTGCCTCTGAGTCTACATTTTTAATTTTGTTTTGGTTGTGGTGCAAAGTTAGTGTCAATTTACAGAGGATACAACCGCAGGCTGGAAATAAATCATGAAGTATGAATAACAAAAGAATAAAACTGAGGTATGTGGTAGAGGAGTATTCTGTGCTGGTTACTGTGGGATCTCTGTCTTGTTAATGGACTTAAGGAACTGACAGCGTAAACAGTTTGTAGTAGTCGGGGGGGAGACAACAAAGTGGCTTCTGTGTTACTTAATGATTTAGGAACAGAGAACTGAAAACCGTTAGTGTGTCACGTTAGAAAAATAGACAACTGATTTATTCTCAGTAATTAATAAAATCACCCGTTTCTCTTCTATTGTAACCCAACCGATTCGTCTTAGCTCTGTTTTCAGTGTAACCAGAGTTTTTCTAACCTGGGTTGGTGCGTCTGTTGGACGGACACGGCGTCATGGAAACACTCTTTCGCCTTCATGTAGTCTCCGGTCAGCATGTGCAGACTTCCCCACTCTGACTTATGGGAGGGCTCGGTGGGCTGCATCACCACCAGCTGCAGGAAAACAAACACAAGCACCTCGAGCTGTAGCCACCTGATGCAACATAAGCAGGAACGCTGACATGATTCAAGAATAACAGAATAATCCAAGTTTATCTGTGACAGGAAATCAATAAATCACCTATTGGCTGACAGGCCTGCTCTGTTTAATACACACATTTTATTATAAGCACAGTTGTGGCTACAAACACAGCTTTTCAGCAGGTTTGTTTCCTCTATTTCGGTTTTAGGAGCGGCGAGCTGCATTGTTGTACCTCTTGATAGTACTGGGCAGCCTGTTGGTAATTCCCAGTGAGCTGAGCCTCTCTGGCGAAATGTCTGAGCTGAGAGGAATCTAACTGGATTTCATCTGAGGAGTCTTCGTCCACATCGTCCGAATAAATCTGGTGAGAAGGCGAGGAAAGTTTATTTCTACACAGAGTGCTTTCTGTGAAACACAAAAAGGATGAAGACAAAGTGTAAAGGGAGGATAAAGCGACATAAATAAGGAATTAAAAAGTAAGATAAATACAGGAATGTTAACATGACAATGTAGTTTAAGGTATTCAAAAGTCTCAGATTTGGTTTAACGAAAGGCAGAAACAAACAGAAAAGTCTTCTGAGAGTTTGTTCCAGAGATGTGGTGCAAAAAAATGTGAATAAATTAAAGTCTATACGACCTTATTGAGAGCTACGTGCATCTCGTCCACCAACTCAACGTAAAGCTTGCTGGCGAAAATCTTCAGCTCGTGGGGGTCCGTGAACCGCTCCGTACGCTGCATCTTGTCGCGTACGAGCTTCACCACTGCATGCTGCACAGCACAAACGCACACGTGTGGTGAAACGGTGAAGCTTTCTGGGCTACAGATTCACTACTCCAAAGTAAATGGCTTTATCTGTTGATAGTAACGGTGTATGTTCTGTGTTTACAGCAGGTTAAATCAAATCAAATGTGTTGATATTGCAGATTTTAGAATAATGTCAGCTGACCAAAGTGTTGCATGTGTCGTGTGACAAGCAGCAGCAAAAATAAACTGTAGGATCAATTTCTAAAATAGAATAGAAATACTTTACTAATCCCTGAGGAGAAATGTGGTTGTTACAACAGAAAGAGTGAAGTTACCAGCACCACAAATACAGATAAATAAGCAAAAAATATGCAGGAAGTAAAAATAAACAGGAAGAAAATATAAAATGCACAATAAATAACAAAAGATTTACAAATGTGAAAGTCAAACGTTGAAGTGTTTCTAAACTAAAACTAGCTACTATAATGTTAATAGATGGACTACAGCATCCTGTTCTGTTCCTGATCTTAACAACAACATGTTCTCAGGATGCCAGAACACTGACATGTGTGGGTGGCGTGAAAGTCCAGATTCGGAAATGATCCACTCAGAAGCAAACAGTTTCTCTGGAAGTTTCATTCTGACCTCCATCTGCTCCTTAAAGCCGAAGTATCTCCCCGACACATTGAGCGCTCCCATCAGCTGAACCTTGATCTGCTCGCAGCTCCAGTTCTGCGGCGGCCGACGACTCGGGCCGAACAGGTCCTCGTACTGCTCTGAGACGCTGGTCACCACGTTGTTAACCTCCCTGTGAAAGTCCAGCACTGCCTGCAGGAGGAGAATTCAGCAAATAAATAGATCTGCGCTGCTATCTGCTTTGTTTTGTCTGTCTCTGTGTGGGTACAAAATGGTTGGATTCTGTCATGTTCAAAAGCTGGGAAAATAATGGCAAGTATATCTAAAATAATGATATTTGTTGCTGATTTACATACAATGAAAATAGTGTATTGTTATGGTCAAACACGGTAAAAGAATGATTTCTGATGTTGACATTATTTACAGTTTTAGCCTTTTTTTTTTACAGTCACCATGTAATCAATGTAAATAAATCATTATAAAACAGAGAAAATCTGTAAAATACCAGTTAAACAAATAAATTAATTTTTTTCAGTTTTCAACATACTTTTTTGTTGTTGATTTAAATACAAAAAACAATAATTTTACAGTCAAATGTTTTAAAAGAATGATTTAACATTTTAAAAATGACTTCATTTTGATGTGGACATTATGTGCAGTTTTGCATTTTTTTGGAGTTTGCATGTAAATATATACATATTTCTATTTTAAAACATATCTGTAAATAAACTAAACCGAAAAAAAATCTGTAAAATAACAGCTAAACAAATTAATGTTTTTAATCCTTGAGATAGCTTTTTAATTTTTTGTTTTTATTTGTAAATATCTGAACAACAATGAAATAAGTTCTGTTGCATTAAAACCAGTAAAAAAAAAAGTGTAATTAGTTTTATTTAGTTAAAAGTAAAAAAAAAAAAACAAAAAAAAACAGATTACTACTTTCAAAAACAGCGATTTCTGATGTGGAAATTATGTTTGTATGAGTTGTATATAAGTTTTGGACTGTGTTTTTAGAGTTAGCATGTAAATGAACATCTTTCTTAAAACTGTGATTTTAGTAGTTATTTGTAGTTTAACTAAACAGAGAAAACCTGTAAAATAAATTATCCATATGAGTGTCTGTTTTACTCTTTCTGCTGGGCTTGGACCTGCTGGCAGTGGATTTCTGGGTGGGATCAGCGCCTTCACCCTGCAGGAAATAAAGACACACATCAACAGATTCTCACTTATCTGTGCCTCACAGTCAAACAGAAAAGAAGGAGCAGCTACTGAAGCCTTTTTCAGACGTGGGGTGTTTAACATTGCTGCTTCATCAGTCTGCCATTCAGAGATTTTCCAGATAAATCTGTCCTGAATCACTTCACACACCCCTAGGTACTGTTGTTTGTGTGTTTATCCATTTTTGCACTTGTGCCGTGTTGAAAGTAAAGACGTCAAGTTGACAGCTTCAGATGCTGATGAACACGAGGGAGCGTCGGTGTGAAAGGGATCCTGTATCCGTACATCTGTCACTATTAGAGTACAATTAACAGGCAACAGCTCCAGAAGTGAATGTCTTCTGACAGCTCAACCCCACAATCTAGAGGCAGTGGGACCAACAGAACCAAACTTCTCCAGGCTTTCTGTAACACGCTACCTTCTGGCCAGCTCCTCTGTGGATGGTTTTGGTACCAGCGGTTTCTCCAGGGCTACTTCAATGATAATATAAGTTCTGGCCTTCACGTACATCTGTCAGTAACACAGGAACAAACTGGAGAATAATTAAGGATTACAGTAGAAAAGCTGCTCTCACAGCGTCTGTATTAACCTGCAACTACAACCACAGTTTCCAGAGTTTGTGTCTGATCTTGCACAGAGTTGTGTTTGTGTTTGGTGAAGCTCACGTTTCCCTCCACATTGACCGGTAGCTCGGCTTCAGACAGGCTCTCTTCGGTGCTGTCGGCCACAGCTGTCCTGCTCTGATTGTTGGTTTGCTGACAGAATAAAAACAGATCCTATCAGAGTCCGACATTCACGGCAGAAAGACATGTAACTGCTGAAATCCTCATCGGCTGTGTGAGACAAACTGCTGCTCGTGTTGGAAAGCTTTCAGAAACTTTGTGCTGCAGTTTGTCTTAATTAAACATGGAGTAAAAATCGATCTCCTCAGGGTGTTCCTGACCTTCTTGGCAAAGTCCTTGGTCCCCTTCACTGCCTTGTTGCTTCCGTCCAAGTTCTTCCCCGCCTTCGGTTTGTTGGAGCCGCGAGCCGAGCCGGATCGAGCTTTGGCCTGGTTGGCCGCTGCCTTGGCCTGATCCTTTAACACGCTGGCACACCGCTTGGCCTTCGAGCGCAAGATGGACGACAAACTCACTTTAACGGAGGATTAACAGCACAGCACACGACTGGAGCTGCATTATGGTTATTTAATGGACTATTTTAGGTCAAGTCTTCAACTGGAATACACCTACAGAGACAAACCTGTCTGTGGGATTCACACAGAGAGAAACGATGCTAAAAACTTCTTCATGGTTTGTTTGAGGAACAAAGCAGATAGAAAGCAGATGGAATTCTTGTAGAGATTATAGGACACTGAGAGACCCCTATCAGAGGACTAATAATAATAAATAATCTCTCCTTTTGTCTGGGTGCCTTATCTAGTAATGTCTTTAAAGAATCAGTGTTATTGTTGACTCAGATCTTTCCCTACATAAGAAGGCTAACCAAGACCACGTCGTTCTTTTCTTCTAAGGACATGTCATCCATGCTTTTATCTCTTCTGAACCACTGCCATAAACTTTACTCTGGTACCAGCAGACCAATAAAAAAACACATCAGCTGCACTCAGATGTCTACCTGTACTTAATAAATGTTCTATTTTTAATAAATTGACATCTCTTTGTAGAAATCTGTTTGCGCTTTGACGTCAAAGATTCTTTTTTTTTGTAAATTCCTCTCAAAAAAGCCAAATTAAATCGACCACAATTCAAAGTTGAAAGTCAATGAAAGCAGAAATTTTGTGTGTTTCAGTTTGACCTTGCTGAGCAGCTCGGCCTCGGTGAACGGCTGAACGCTGTACGCTCCTCGGATGCGTCTGACTCCAGGATACAGCAGCTTCCCCATGTCCACAAACGCAACGCCGTGGAAGGGGATCTCTGGGTCGCTGTCACCGAGCTGCACACACATAAAACACATAAAACACAGCACTAGGTTATAACATAAGGGCTGTGCCACACGTCATATTGACTTGACGTGGCTTTAGACGGATGCTCCGTGGTGAGGACGTCTCATTTTGTTAATGTAGCCCCTCCCTTCCCCCACTCACGTCTCTGATGGACGGGACTGGGAGGAGTCGAGGATGTGCAATTAGTTAAACGAGATAAGAGGTTGGAGATGCTGGGGATTGAACCCAGGACCTCATACATGCGAAGCACGCGCTCTACCACTGAGCTACATCCCCTTGTGTGCAGCTCTCAGAATGCCGTCTCCACCACTGCAGCATCCCATGGAAAAGACTTGGAAAACATCACTAACCTTTGCCAGCGGCAACAAAGACCTCATGACCTCCACCGGCCACAGTCGGCTCTCATTGATCCTCTGACGCAGCCTGGAATCACAGTAAATGATGCACAGTTAATACGAGGTGCAGCAAGGAGGCTTTAATTCAACAGAAAACAATCTACCAGAAAGAAAAGATTCAAATAACATGAATAAAAGACCAAGACAGTGGAAAAAAAGAAGAAAACGATGTTAAGTTTCATGCATATAGTTGGCGATGTGGAGCTAAATGTCATATTCAGTGATATTTTAATTATGTGTCGCATACTGTGCATCTCCTAACAGGTCAAGTCAAGTCAACTTTATTTAAATAGCACATTTAAAAACAACCAAGCTTGACCAAAGTGCTTTACAAGCTCACAATAGTGACAGAACATGGACACACAATGGCAATATGTCAAGGTGTCAACTTCAATTAAAAGCCAGAGAACACATGCATGTCTTCAGGAAGGACTTGAAGGTATCAAGAGACTGAATGTTTCTAATTTGAGCAGGTGAGCTGCTTCTAGAGGTTCCGTGGTCCGGTCGGAAGTTCAGAGGGGACAGAGCCTTTGCAGTCGCAGCTCCAAGGCTCTGGAGTTCTTTGCCGCTGCTCGTTAGAGAAGCACCATCAGTGTCCATTTTTAAAACCCATCTGATAACTCATTTTTATGCCCTGGCCTTCGACCCGGCACGAGACTCCTGTTTTATTGTTTTTTATTGTTCTTGTTGTCTTTTTTAATGATGATTGGCCGACCTCAACACTAAGACTAGAGCACTGACGTGTCAAAGCTCTGATAAAGAAAAAGACACCAGCCCATTTAACACCTTAAAAAAATACAATAAAATCCTAAAAAACAATCCTGAAGCAGACAGGAAGCCAGTGGAGCGAGGCTAGAACTGAAGTGATGTGCTCCTGTTTCTTTGTCCGGCAGCAGCATTCTGTTGGAGTCGACCAAGAGGCATCTGCTCAAGACCTGCACTAGTCTAGCCTGGCTGTGATAAAGGCATGTATGACTCTGTCAAAGTGATCGTAAGACAAACAGGGTTTCACTTTGGCCCATAGCCTTCATTGGAAGGAGCCAAATTTAAAAGCAAACATCTCTTTAGTTGTCTTATATTCTTGTATTGGTCACATTTTAAGATGAATCACATCTCTATCTGTACTCCACCTGTCGGGCAGTGACCACGGACTCTTTCTTCTGTTTGTCGCCACAACTTTCTGCATATTTTCTCTGAACTGTGGTGAGAATCTGTCTCTGCTTTCTATCTCTGGCAGTAATCAGATATTCTGGCAGTTTATATTCGTGGTTTCTAACTAAATAATACTGTTGAAGACAATATTTTCTGTTGCTCACTGCAAGACTCTGAGGGGAAATCATTGTTACGATTAAACTATTTCCCCTGATTTCCGGCACAAATGTGTTGATTTTGTAGAGATTCCAGAATAATCTTTTAAAGCACGTGATGGTGAGGCAGAAGCTGTGAGTGCGGCTGACCTGTCGGTTCCTCCTGGGTCGATGAAGCAGCACGTCTCAGTGTCCCAGCTCACTCTGTTCTTCATGGTCTCTGCTTCATCACGGAACGTCCGGTCCTGTAGGAACATTCAGACCTTCAGCGCTGTAACTGAGCTTTTATAATCCTCTGCGGTACCAGATACGGACAGAACAAGACTATTAATGCAGCATGCGCGGACTTCTTTTCTGACTTTGTTTATTGTTCTTTTTAGAAAAGAGGTATATCTGACAGTTTGGACAGTTAGCCATTCTGGCACCTGAACGTCCACGACTCCACCACTAGTCGACCCGAAACCGATGCTGAGATCTGGATCTGGACTGGTCACAGGAATTTCCAGCGATGCCAGTTTCTTTGTTTACGGCCGTGTTATAGAACCACTATCCTACTTCAGCATTTTCTTCCTTAAAACTTCACTGTATTGACAACAGTTTAAAAAACACAGATTCAGACTTCCGGGGTTTTACATACAACAAGCCTACAGATCCAATCACGTCAGCTTACAGGATACAGCTTTCTGTATCACTATTCTCCTTCAGAACCAGTTTCGGGTTTGAACTTTTGAGCTGAATTACTCGTGAAGTGCAACTTGCCACAGAGAGGTTTTATAGTGCAGATTTGTGGGTGAGCTGATGTGCTCAAGCTGCAATGAGAGGCAAGATGTCAGACTTGTTCATTTGTCAGGTTCACTTACAGTCAACTATGTGATGAAATGTTTTGGACAAGAAGGACCGATAAGCTCACTGTTCCCAACACTGGAGCAACAGTAGATTCAAATATTGCCAGAAGTGTGAAAATAGGAAAAATATAATAATACTATAAACATCTGAGACATTTTAAGGCATGAAGGGATCGTTTTTAATGAAAAAACATCCAAAATATAACTTGGATGGACAGTTTTAGGGGTTAAACAAACAACCAGTGAAGGACTTTAAAGTCTGATCATGTCTATTGAATGAAAACCCATTTATATGACATTCCTTGCTGCCATGTAATTCTACATTTGGCACCGACCGAGTCCACACTGCTTTACCTCCGGGCCGGTCAGCTCTCCGTCCTCCAGCTCGATGGGCACTGGATGGAAAAAGGCTTTGGGCACAAAGTGGTTGTCTGGGACCAGCGTGGTCCGATGAGGCCTCTTTTTCTGTCGCTTCCTGTCCTCCTCCTGTCCTCCAGCTTTGAGCTGTCCTTCACAGAACAACAGCACCTGATCCTTCTGGGAGTCAGAGAGGAATAACACAGTTCAGATGCTTTAGTCTGGAAAGACTCAGAGTCAGAGCTGCACTGGGAAGAAAAAAATAAATCAAAAATCAGTGAAATTGTACAAGTTTGGCAGCAAGGGTGCCACAAGACATCTGTTAAAACTTGTGGAAAACTGTAGCATTCAAAAAAACAAGAAAAAAACAACAAGAAAATAACAGCAAATATCTGTAAAATAATTATACTGTAGCTGATGTGTAGACAATAAAGTATGGTGTCCTTTTGGTGTCATTGGTGTAATTTTATGCATTTTAAAAGAACCAGTTACTATTTGTAAAATACAGACTTTTGATGCGGAGATTATTATTTATTTTCTTTTTTAATTATGTAAATTATTGCCTATTTTTCTTTTATGTTACTGGATATTATGTGCAATTTAGCAAACCAAGGAAAATCTGTAAAATAACAAGAAAAAAGATATTTACCACTTTTCAGGCCTTAATATACATTTTTTTCTTTCAATTAAGGGCAAATATCTGTAAAATAATTATAGTTTTGGTGTTGTAAATACAGAAATGTAATGTATGAAATGTGATTGTATGTAATTTGTTATGGGAACATTATTTACAGTTTTTGTTCTGTTTTTTTAGGGTTAACATGTAAACTAACACTTTTTATTGCCAGTAATTTAACAAAACAGGGAAAATCTGTAAAATAATAAATTGTTCCACAAATTACAGACAAAAGCTTTGACATTAATTTTTACAGTGTGTTCTGAGTTTACCTGCATTGCTTTCTACACAAGAAATGTTCTGATCCAGTAAAAGATTCAGCAGACTGTAACTCACCTCTGCAGTCAGCGGGACCTCCAGGGCAGCAGCGTACGTGAAGGGAGTCGAACCCGACGTCAGCATCCAGGACTCGGGGATGGAGTAGGCCGTCTCCACGGTTACCTTCATCAGGTTGGAGGCTGAGAGTTCAGCTTCAGGCAGCAACGCATCCGACACGCTGACGCTCACGTCCAGGGTCGGCCGCTAAAGGAGGTCGAGAGAAGACGCACATCTGCATTTAACTTACAAACTGTTTCATTACACTGAAGGCCAATGTCGTTATTAGGTTAAAGGCTGTAAAATCTACCAGGTGTGCTCCACCTAAGGGTCTAAACACTGAATATGTGATGTCCGGAGTGACTAAAAACTACATTATATGCCTATATTTTTCATTTTAGTGACCAAATATTTCACATTAAAAGATATTCTACATGTGTAGTTTTGTATTACTGTGACAAGCAGCTACACAAGGTTAGGAAAATATCGCTAGTTGAGTGTTTTTTGAGCTCAAAGATGAGACTTTAAGATATTTCAACACACTGACAATCAGAGAGTTTTTAAACTATTTGTCCAATACTACAGATTCTACATTAATAACACAATGAGAAATAACAGCAAAGATTTCAGGTTTTTATCTTAAATATTTCCTGAGATATTGTTTTTCAACCTGCCTCCTATACATTTCTTTTTAAAAAACTTGTATTTAGGTATCAGACAATGAGGACTATTGACAGAGATAGTTGCCTGAATTCTTCTATTTTTTCACACAACTATGTACACTGAACACATTTTTAAACTGAGTGACACACATTGGTAGATTTTTTTGTAAAATTTGCACTTCTTATATGACAAATTGTTGTCGCAGTTTGTATGTGGAGTTCTATGGAGCTATCAGTCTACTATCTATCTATGCCTGCACTGTGGCACACTCTGAGAAAACACTGTGAAAAAAGCGTGATTAGAAATGTCATTAGCGCTGACTGTCCTGTCAGTTCGGGCGGGATTACCTTCCTCCACTTTAAAAAGGCTTGGCGGGCCACCTGCATCTGTCGGGCTCTCTCTGCTACCTCCTCGTTGGATCGGTTCTGTGGTTGCACAACATTCACTGACAGGGAACAGCTGCTGCTAATTCATGGAGTCACTCACCGAACGGAGCGCAGCGTGGATAAACTCTTATCTTATAAAAGCAACTAGGATAGGTCCGACATCCTGAAAGAACTCCTATCAGTCGTCTCTGCTGTCATTTTTCTTTCTTTTTCCTCCATTTTTTAGTTCTGAGCGCCTTCTTGTGCTGTTGTCTTTTATGTAAAGGTGCAATTTGGAAAAAATAAAATAAAATATGAAAATGAAAATGTACCATTTTTAGATCAAATGTCCATTAAATATATTATTTAAGGACTGACTACAGTGCTGATAGATGCGGTAAAGCATAAAGTCTACAAATTAGTGTTTTCTCCCTCTAAATATTTGCACGTTGAACTGAACAACAGATAGCAAAGTCCTTTTCAGCCAGAGTAAAGGAGCAATTTTTAAAATTCATAGTGACATCTGCAATTCAAAGGTGTCCTGTGGAGCTCTGATAGAAGCATGTTTACATCCAGCATTGCCCACCAACACACTGCAGGGAACTTTAACAAACATGTTTAACATTTCCTACTTTGTAAAACACTTACAAACACTTGTTTTTTTTTAACAAGTACTTCAAATGCAGCATTGTTTGCATTCATATGTAGCTGCTGCCAGTCTCCTGTTTTTGCCTTGACTTGTTTCTTTAGGTCTGAATTCTGTGAAACTTGGTGGAGTTTGGATGAAGCAACAACCCACGAAATGTTGATGCAGAGCTTTAAAACTTTCAGAAGTCTGCGCCCTCCTGGCTTAAAGATATGTACCGTGTGAGACCATAAATAAACTCATACAGTAGGTTCTACTATGGTTTCATGTTGTACTTCTATCATTAAAAATCCTGAACAAATGTCCAATTAATTAAATAACCAAGCAGACAGTAAGTGGATGTGGGTGAGCTAAGCTGTCTTACATCCAGAATAAGTAAATCAGATTTATAGCAGACACAATTCAAAGGCATAAATAATAGATGGGCATTAAAAATGATAAATATATGAGTAAATATTACATTTAAGAGTGAAATTAATTTGACATGTGGCCTGTAACACTGAACATAATTTAGCTTCTCTGGAAATGATTAAACCTCAAAGCAAGAGATCATTAAGAAAAGATGAGATGCTTGTCTGATAAATAACTGATATCCTAGGAGCTTAGAATTGATTTTACTATTCCACTGGGACCAGCACGTCTCATTACAATGAGTCATTTCAAGCATCATGTTTTCTCAACACCATGAATGAAAATGTCCAGCTGTGTGATTTGTGCAGCTCATTGCAGATGTGCGCTGTGATATTTATAGCTGCTGTGACCTGCCTCTAACAGCGGCTGGATGACATTACAGCGGAGTCATTAACTGACCGACCTTGCGGCTGAGGTCTGTGAAGGACTCTTTGGCAGAGGAGCTGCCGGCTGGATTCACTGGGACTGTGGATGAGAAGCTGCTCTGACCTGAGGACAAAGAGAAAATCATTCCTACAGTCAAAGTCCTGCCTGGTGAGGAAAGCTTGTTTAACTCAGTTTCTCCGGAGCGCCGCAGAAAGCAGCTGGTAAAAACACATCATTTGTAACAGGTGCAGGTGTACCTCGCAGCAGCGGCAGCAGGTCGACCACGGCCTGGCCCAGCACCGCCGCCTTCGCTTTCTTCTCCTCAGGCAGAACCTCCATCACTGTCACTGACCACAACACAACATTAAACAGTGCTGGCAGAAGTGAGAGCTGAACAGACCGACACAGAAGCTTCAGGTCTTCCTCTGCTCGCCTCACCAGCGAGCACATTTCTATCAGCACTTCAGATCACTGACAAGTGATTCAGGTAAAGCTGGAGCTGACTTGTCATTGTGTAGATGTTTGTTTTTTCCATCTATCATTCAAACGTAAAATAACTTTAAATAAAACTGGTTATGAGAAGGAACAGAACATTTTAAGGAACAACTCTGGGGTTGGTAGAAACAACGATTTCTAATTCGAACTCACAAACTATTGGCTGCTACAGAGACAGATATAGAATAAAACTGAACACCTTCTCGTATTAAAAAAGCAAAATGCCAGCATCTTATATTCAACAACACCAGCACATACGTGTTCAATCTTTCAGCATGTTACCCTGCCATCTGTGATGGAAATATTCTTTCACTGTTTTAGGATTAGTGTCATTTCTTGTTTCATGTGGGCATCATCGGTGGAGCGAAGTGGCTCATTACTGATAAAATCAAATCTGAGCAAAGTCCCCACCTGACTGCCTAAGTGGAATACTGTAGTACTGCCACAATGTAGGAAATGACTTTGATAAACAAGGAACCATGGCTAGAAGCTGATCCTGGTATCAAATGGAGGCAAAACGGTCCTTCCATCGTCTAGAACTGGTTCTGACCAACCACCATCACACATGCTGACATGAGCCTGGAAAGTTTACCCAGAATGCACTTTGTAAAGTTTTCTCTGGTGAATGATCAGAACCAGAACCACATCCAGGGTACCAATGATTGTTTCTACCACTCTATGCCATAGACATTAAACTGTTCACACTGTGAGACATCCCATAATACTGATGCTACCAGCTGGTTAGAGAAGAAAATGAACACAAACCAGGTCCAGTGTTCAGACTGAGACACCTGGATGGATGTAGAACTGATCTGGTGTCAGTTTTTAGCACAACTCAGATGTGTTTTTCATCCTTAAATGTCATGTGTCTGTCTGCTGTACTGATGAAATGGATGAAAAAATGTCCAAAATGTCTTGAAACCTGACCCAAATGACTTTAGATTTGTCCATAATGACCAAAAAAGACTCAAACATGGTCCTAAACAGCTCAGAATTCGTCCAAAATGTCTTGAAACTTCTCTAAAATTACTCAACATGCCTCAAAACTCGTCCCAAATGACCTAAAATGTGTCAAAAATGACAAAAACATCCCCAGAATGCCTCAAAATCTGTCCAGAAAAACACATGGAAGCCAAAGACTTCTCCAAAAAAAACATTAAAAAGGGTGAAATTTTATAACTTCAAGGGCCTGTAGCTCTGAAAATATCCACAGCATGAAGGTAAAACTTACTACTGTTACTGTAGATAAAAATCAGCTGATTCTCAGGAGGTCAGGTTGGAGATATAAAGATTAAATGTGGTGATTTAAGGAAATGTTTGCAGCTGACATATAGAAAGTCAAAGCAAAAAAACTCAAATTAGCCAAAGCTGAAAGGAAGCAAAAGCTTTAAAATCATCAGAAGCTGGCTAGCTCGAACTCAGCTCACATATGATGGGATTCTGGGCGATGCCACTGAGAGCCTGAGCGTCTGCTGGCCAGTGGAAGCTGCAGCTGAAGTCGTAGTCAACACGACGCTCCACAGAGTCGACCGGCTTCCAGTCCGACTCTCCCAGCAGAGTTCCATCCATCTCAACCTTCAGAAAACTCTGCAAGCTGTCACCTTTCCTCGGTCGCTGAAAAGAGAAGAAACAGAATGGATAACACACCTCCTCGGCCGCAGCCACTTTTCCAACATCGTGAGGGTTTTTATTTGCCCCACACCAGTCGTATAATTTCCATTCGTGCATCTTGATCCAAGAGCAAATTAAAAAAATGCAGTTTTAATGGCAGTAAAATAAGCAAGACCAGGTTTGTTTATGTACTTGTCATAATGTAGGAGGTATATCCCATGAGTCTCAGCCATTAGTGCTGTATGCGAGCAGACTGTCACAGCAGCAGCAGCAGCAGCTGAGCGAGGACGATTCTTTGATCAGTTGTCTGGTTTGGTGTCTCAGTGTGAAAACCACAGTGTGGAGTGAAACCTGAAAACTGGATGCAAATGCAGTTTTCTGCTGAAGTAGAAAATGAGGGATTGAAAACACCCAGAGAGGTGATCTGAATCTTTGCGTTGTCTTATTTGTAAAGACAAACAAACAGAAGGGATGCTAATTAGAGTTGATGACATTTTGCTTTACATGACTTGTATGTAAATCTTAAATGCATCACTTTTAACAAGAATAAAGTATATCAGCTCTATCTACATGGGGTTTTTTTCACCTTTTACTGGTTGTTTTTTTTAGTATTTTTGCTGGGAAAACGGAGGCAAATCAACTGGAAACATTTGCAAATCAATCTCATAACTGTCCTAGCACTTACATTTTTTTCTAAAATAAGAAATAACTGAGTGATTTAGAGGTAATAATTGTGTCTTATCATTTACATCACACATCCCTCATGGGGGTGTTGAGACACATTAATCAAAAACAAACCAGTAAATAACAACATGTTGTACAATCTCATATCAATACAAGCATAAAGCAACTGAAGCTACATTTATGCACCAACTAATATAAGTTAGCATATATTTCAGGCCTGATTCAGTCCAATTAATGTTAGCTAATTAAAATAATATCATTTATAAACTAGTAGAGTTGCATTTTTAGGGCTGGGTTTGTTTTAAAAATGAATCAGATATTAAGATTTAGGATGTGAAAGCTCCAGAAATTGCTCTAAATTGAATGTTTAATGTTAGCTAGCCAAAGCTAAACTGTTAAATTTAACTAATATCGCGTTAACGAGACTCTGGGTTTAATTTCTAGTTTTATAACAGACACTAAGGAATAAATCTGTGTCATAACTTTATGTGGGCATTTTTTTAAATTTATTTTTTAATCTTAGCTAACTTCAACTTGAAGCTAAAACTACACTGACGCGGTGGAATTAGCATAACCCTTCGTAGCTTTGACCGCCGTTCACTAGTTTACCAGCGTCACCTTAGTTACACCCAACTAACCAGCTAACTAGCGTCTATCTCACCAGGTTGCTTCCACGGAGAACGGTGACTTTCACGGTCGGGTTTGTGTTGTCGGGAGTGTCCATCGTGGAAACAGACGGTGACTAACTTTAGCTCGCTAACGTTACTGGGTTAGACACGTTTCCATGGCAACAACACGAGACACGGTGGCGCATTCACGGAACATCGGACAATCGACGGTCAGACGAACAAACCAGGAATAACGTTAAAACTGGTCACAACATGTCACCGAATAAAATGACTTATTATACAGAAGAAAGAGAAAAACTCTAAAAGAGTAATATAACACTAATTAGAGTGATTTAAAGCAATACATTTTAAAATTAGCTTTTTTTCCCCAATTCTGTAGCTGTTACCTGAATGCAGCGTTATTGTAGTTTTACAGACTCAGTCCTTTTCAATTGTTTATTTAACATTTATGCATTTTTACAGCTTAAAACAGACTTTTTAAAAAATATATATTTTTTAGATTTTAATGCTGGGTAAGAATATAAAATATAAAATTTTCCCAATAGACTTTACTTTCTTTACCTTAAATGAACAGCACGGTCTCACTTCTTTCTGTATTCAAGGAAATTACAGAAACTATATAATTTCTGCAATAGTACTCGTGGGGCAGCAGGGGTCACTGCTCTCAAAGGATGTGTTTCTGGTGAGGTCACACTTTACAGGTTACTGACATTCATTTAAAACCTGTATTCTCAGCCAGCGTTTTTCTAAGAATGACGCAGCCCTACAGCTACACATCAACACTGAGTTTTGTGCTCAGTTCAGAGCACATTTCATCATTTGCACTGAGAGATTTATGTCAGCATGTGTTGCCTGTGCTCTACTCACAAAAACTGAAAGTCTTCAGCAATTTGAGTCCAAGTGAAAAGATGTAAACACATATTGTCGATCAGATATTTGAGCAGACATAGATCACGGCATTTATTCAAACCACCAAAACTCCAATCCTGGATCTGCTCTGTTCATAATCTTTTTAGTTACAATTGCAGGAGGGGAAAAAAAAACAGTAAAATGTCTGAGGATAATTATGCAGATGACCCATGAATTTATACAACAACATCACCTGGTGACTGTTTGCACACAAACACTGACTAGATAGCAATTTTGGCAAAGACTTAATCTAATTAAACGAAGATAAGAATAAAATAAACGTTTTTGGCCTCAGATATGAATTTTAATAACCACAATAAGACAATTAAGGATGCAGCTGCTGACGTCTTCACTGTGACCTCTTTGCACCGGCCTCCTGTTTGTGATTTTAAAATTCAGGAAAACATTTCTGGTCTGCAGCTCTGCTATGAACCACTCAGACCTCACAGATCATCTCAGACGAATGCAGCCACTGTTCTTAGAGTCAAGACGAGACTTTGGTTTCTCTGCATCAAATATCTGGATGAATGAAGCCCAGACAATCTGACATCTGCTCTACAGCTGAACCATACGACAAAAATCATGTCTCAGTTTCCATAATGACAAAAAGTCTGCAAATAGAAATGCATGATTAAATTAACTAAAATAAGAATTTTGTCACACTTTGATGTGAAACGGGGAACTAACTCTGATATAATAACATTATTTGTTCTGCAAATTATTAAAATTATCACAGTTTACAATAAAATTACGTTAAATTTAAGTAAAACTATCATGCAAAACAGAAGTGTATTTTCAATCTTTTTTGTAAATAGCAGCATCTCCTCCTCCCTGTCTGACAGTCGGTTCAGATGGAGGTAAAACCAGATGGAGTTACCTCAGTCAACGGATTAGAGTCTCCTTGAGATAACCGTTTTTTATTTAATTTTTCTTTGCTTCTTTTGTCTTGTTGTTTTCTGTCTTTATCTCATTTGTTATGTTGACTTCTGTGTATTTGACTTTGGTTTTGTGTGTCAACGCATACAGTAAACCTTTTTAAATAAAGTTATAATTCCTATTCTTGTTCTTAATCTCATTAAAATAATGAACAAATGCAACAGAATAGAATTAGTAGGATTAATCAGCAATCCTGTCAGCGCATTCACAAAATCAGACAACATTTTTAAAAGCACAAAAGGAGATGTGCAAATACAAAATATGAAAATCAAGTAGATGTATGTAAAACCTTCCATACAAGGTGATGTTGTACGTAAACTACTGTAACCATGTGCAGGTTCAGTATATAAATCTGAGGTACATGAGGTTGAAGGTGCAGAAGTGTAGATATTTCCAGATTCTGTCAATGTAACAGAAAGTAAATTATACCAGAGAATATGTTAAAATAAACAGAGTTGACAATAAACGCATTTGTATTCGTATATAAAGACAAAACACCAAAGTTTATTTTGTTCTGTCAGAATATTACATAGCATTACCACAAAATCACTGCTTTTGACTTCCTCAGACCAGAAAATGATTTCAGGACTGATTAAAGATGAACACGGCCACAGCCAAGACAAGACACAAAAGAAAAACAGACTGTGGCTCGGTGGTTAGAACTGTCACCTCCCGGCCTGCTGGGATCTTTCTGCGTGGAGTCTCCATGTTCTACAGTCCAGAAACATGCTGAGGTTAATTGGTGATTGTAAATTGTCCGTAGGTGTGAATGTGAGTGTGCTTGGTTGTCTGTCTCTAAGTGTAGCCCTGTGATAGACTGGTTACCTGTCCAGGTAATGGATGGATGGATAAATTCATCATGTGTGGTGTATCCTTTCTGTGAGACCTTTGTCATTATATCTTTATTTTTTCAGCCCTATTGTACTTTTGCAATATCTTGTCCTGCTTATTTCATGCCTTTTCTGTATCCAGCTGCTGTAACATGTGAAGTTCCCCGGTGAGGGAGCTGTAAAGTTTATCTTATCTTATCTAATGGTCAGGAAGGAAAACACGATGGTTGGGCTTCCTCTTACCCCAGTTTACTCATATACAGTTCTCAACAAATGTACTAGATCACCTGTCTAATTTGTTAATCTGTGACCATCCAGCATCATGAAGTGCTTTAATTCGCACTCAGCTCTCCACGTTTTACCGTATAGAACAGGAATGAGGAATTTCAAACTGAATTCACCTTTTTATACCCAAATCTGAATCACTGGGGTTCTCTGAGAAGTGAATGAAATGAATCAAGCAGAACATTTAACCTCAATTTTTCTCCTCAGGGATGCAAGTAAACAACTAGAAATAATAGTGTGCTTTATTATTTTTTTCTGTTTGTTTTTTGTTGTAAAACAGTCAATTTGAAAATTCATGGAAAACAATAATAATTATAATTCAGCATTAAAAACATCATTTTGGTTACAGAGCTTCTACATACTGGTGTATGAACCATTACAGAAACATAAAAGATGATTTTGTTAATTTAGGGCAGCTGTGGCATAAACCTGACACTGGGTGGTGAGCTAATAAATTTGTTAAACACTATATATATATACACATATTCTAAATCACATTCATGCATACCTTATTACACAGTATTTTCTGTTATATCTCGTGTAAATACGTCTTTATGCCTCATATAAACCCTTGTCGTGTTTTTGCTGTGGGGCACTGCAGTGTGTCCTCCCGGCCGCAGGGGGCGCTCCTCCGCGGACTCGCCGCTGCCCGTTAACCCGCTCTGCTAACTACTTCCTGGAGTCTTATTATCAATGATTTTGCCAGTTGTGTGAGATTAAAACACTGCTCTGGTGTTTGTCTTTTGTCGTCGTCCGAACATGTCGTACAACTACGTGGTAACAGCGCAGAAGCCGACGGCGGTGAACGCCTGCATCACGGGTGAGTATCTCGGTCCCGCTCGCCGCCTCGACTCGGGAACATCGAGCGGCTGCATGCTAGCCGAGCTCCCGCGCTGCTGCAGCCGAGGAGCCGCAGACGGGCCTGCGGAGCCGCTAGCCGCCGCGCTGCTAGCTCCGATGTTTACCTGCCGCTCTCCGCACACTTGTCCGAGTGGCCGAACACGGGTCTGTCGGATCCGTTTTTCGTGCTCGTTCCGCCGCTAAGCCTCGCTGCGGCTCCTGTGTGGACAGTGAAGTTAGCTGTTGTCGTGTTTGGAGGCGCCGCAGGTTAAAACGCGTCTCCTGCTGCTATCAGACAGGATCTTATCAGTCTTAGTGCCCATTTTGTGACCCTGATAAAGTAACTGATATTCAACCGAAGTATGAAGGCCACGAAATACAAGATGCATTAAATCTGCAGCCAGCACTGTGCTGCTATTAACTCCTACATGTGACCTGCCAGATGATAAACAACATGAAGTTTTAAATTTAGATTGCACACATGAAGGAGCTGAAATCCATCATGGAAATTCATTTAATTTCATTTCAACATCTTTGCATGAGGGTAATATGGTGCCAAAATTACATGCATCTATTATTTAAAAAATCAATTCTGTGGTGATTTAATTTCAAAGTGCTATTTACAAATTATACAGGAATAAAATGTTAAAAAATTAACCTACTTGGCTTCATACTTGTTTAGTCAACCGGATGATTAGTGCCAAGTATTGATATTAAATTTAAACAATTTCCTGTAATCTACAAAGCTGAGGCTGAACCATGTGTGGAGAATATTGAATTGAATTCATTTATTTATTACAATTTGATTTGATTTGCAGTAAGTTCTGTAGTGAGTGTTTTACAGATTTATAACATGTCAGGAGCATTCCCACATTAATAAAAACGACTGTCACACAGCACGGATGGCAGGGATGTTTTAAAACCGTTGAAATGCTGCATCAGATGTGCTGCTAAATCAGAATCAGAAGCTTTTTATTGCCAAGCGAGCTGCACATATGCAGCAATAACAAGACAGGAATAAATACAGAATCTAGATCTGAGAAACTCCAAATAAAATATGCAAAAGAAAAGTATAAAAGTACTACATAAATAAAAAGTACTATGAAAAGCGACATAAACCAAGTAGTAAATTAGGAAACCGTTTAAATGACAGTCTTGCACATGTAATGGTAATGCACAGAGGTGGTGCAGCAGGAATAATGTGGGTATTAAGTTATAAAAACTGGGATTCATGTCAGTAGAATCCCAGCGTGCAACGTTTCATCCAATTAATTAAATCTGAGTGACGGTATTGG